CCAAACTAAGTAATACAAAGAAGCATAGAGGCAATGAAAAGCTGATGACCAGACGAGGAGTACGAAAGAACTGTAAGAACGGCCAAGGATTCACAAAAGTGGATATCCCTATCTTCTCGCGGACTAACTCAAACTACGGCCAATAGTAAATAAATGGAATATTCGAGTGGTCATGAAGGTAAAAACAACACTCCACAAGTCCACCGACGCAACATGATAGAGTGGACAAATTTTATTGTTCTAGAATCTACTGCATAGCGTGCGGCGCATGAGAACAAAAATAAATTGGTGAAACGGGGAAAAATCTACATTTAAATTAAGGAACATCAAAGTTTCTGCAGCATAATGGATACCTAAATATCAGAATTACTGGAAAACATTGCACAGATTGGACACGAGATCAATTGGAAGGCAACAGAAAAAGGGCCTCATACGATGAAAGCACAAGGAAACGGAAGTTTAGGACGGCGATTAACATCCTTGTGGAATAAAATTTTATGAGCAGGAGATTGTAATTAGGCAGAGTTAGCAATAAATTCTCCTACCTCGTCTACAGTTTGCTCAGGATGCAGGGGTTTAATAAGTAGACGACTCTTCAAGGCAATGCCTAATATCTACAGGCATGGGAATCAGGTCCTAGGCGGTATGCAGGTGAGGCGACATCGTGCCTGTTACAGAAGGCTTGAGTAATTGTGCTTGAAGTAATAAGTACACGGACTGGAACCGAGTAAAATCAGTCAACTAGGCCGGTAATAAACGGATCTATGGCACCATGAGGGTGATCTGAATAGAAGGCCAGAGTTGGATTTGTCGATCGAAAGAGAGGGGGCCAAGGTGAACAGCAGGTGTCGAGTGGAATGTAAACAAGTCAGACATTGTGATAGGGCGTGGGTGGGATAAGAGGGTAAGTAATAGATAGATGGACCGTGACAAAAAGAAAAGTGATAGCATAGTCGTTTCGGCAGAAAGCTTGGTCAAGAATTTGACTTCACTTGTCTATTTGACGAGTTGTACCTTGGTACTGTGAATGACAAGACTCACTGATGATGCCGACTATAATGCTGGAGAAACGTCTGAGAATGTACCAAGTCCACAGTCTGATGTTGGGACTTAGGATAATTATTATGCTATAGGGTTCGGACAAGATGTGTCCAACCAACTCATCCTGACGACAAGACCAAGTTACGGAAACAAGGTCAACCCACTTATATACATCAAAGGAGACTGCGACTATTCTGTGTGCCACACCATCTTGATATTTATAGCTTATTATATCTAATTTTACTATATTATAGAGACATCTTATGATTTGGTTGCCTAGTTAATGCTTACTCAACGCGCTTGCAGATGGGCGATTTTTATTCGTGAAGAGGGAGTTAATTCTGTGACAGCTATTTCCTTATATGAATCAACAAAATTGCGATCCTCTGATGTTGGTGCGTTAATGTATTCAGTATCGCATATTTTGTTCATACCATGCTTAAGTAATTTCAAGTGTGATAGCTCCGGCCATACTCGAGGCTATTCTGTCTCCTCTTGCTCAGCGGCTCTTCTTATCCACTTTCTCTCCTTCTTTGTAAGCTTATTTAGCAGTTGTATATATTTAATTAGAAATTTCCTTAGTTCGCTCATTCTATTCAGTATATTGGCTATTTTATCTCCTTACTTTTCAGGTATGCAATGTGAGCGTAATTACTAGCTCTCCTCGATGCGGCTTTTAATTTACTATAAAATACGTTAGAGATAGTATTACTTTAAATGATCCTTTCCTGCTTATAGTCAAATCTTACGCATTACTCATCTATGTCTCAAAGCCTACTTAAAGTAAAGTACGCGTTTTTCCCATCGTCTTAATTACATTTTATAAATCCACATGAAGCATTGCGATCTATTTATCTGGCGGTAAAGGCTTCTTTACTTCAATTAGGTGCGTTACATCAAGAATTTTTATGCAATGCTTTCGAAAATATCACCCATTATTTAAACGTCTGGCTTCGAATTTCCTTCCTAATTTGCTATTCATCAGCAGAACCTGTGGTTTAATTTAGACATGGAGTGATGATAGCTTTTTTATGGCTGTATCTATTACAGCTTTTGGGCGCGGAATATTTATGCTGTAGTCACATTTGAAAAATATAAAGTGTGATGAATGATATCGACGGTTTAAACCTAATTAACCAACAATGTTGAAATTCACATTCTTCTTACTGCCGCACCTTTTAAAATCACTTCTTCATTGTGTCTCTTAATAACCTCTATTTAAATTAGCATTTTATTTTTAGGCGCATCCTTCTAAGCTTAAATCTATTTAAAATGTCAACAGCTGATTTAATTTCCTTGCGGATTACATGAATTTCTCCAAGAATCCTTAACTTTTTTTTCGTGCTCAATACTACTTCAACTTTTATGCACTTTGAAATGGTTTAGTTAGCTGCGCTCTTACTACCTGGCTGCAAAAATAATGTAAAATTCATCTTAATTGAGACTTTCGTGGATTTCAAATTCATTATTTAGTACAATTTTTATTTTATTATCTGTCATGCTTTATTCTTTACTGCATTATTTCCTTCCAGATTCTGCCTGGTGAAAAAGTGCCGGTTGACGCTCGCATTGTAGTTGGAAATTCAACATGCGATGAGTCCCTTATAACCGGCGAATCAATGCCAGTTGAGAAGACTGTCGGTAAGTTTTGTTCTCTTAATTAATCATTTGGATCTCACTACTCTATTGGTGGGCTACGAACTTAAGCTTGATTTTCATTGAACAGTGATGACTTATGGCTCAAGATACTTAACTGAAGTATGAATACTATTTAGCCATCTGGCATGACTTGTTTATAAAGTAAAAACTAAAATAACCTAAATTCTAAGCTTATTTTTATATTTACTAAGAACTCGAGTCGCTAAATCGTTATGCTGATATAGCGACTGATATTCTTTATATTCCCCCTGCTTCTACACTACATATGAAGCTTTAATTAGCCGGAAAATGTGGCTAAGAGGCTATTGATCACACTCATGGAATGAATATTGATTTAGTATAACTTCTACAAATTAGTATTTACCAAAATAAATGCATACCTTTCGCTCCATCCTGCCATCATGTTAGTCAACAGTTTAGTTTTTAAATTCATCTCAACTTTCTTAGGCTCTGATGTGATTGGGGGATCAATCAACCTCACTGGTCTCCTCTTGGCTCGCGCAACGCACGTTGGCAATGACTCAGCACTTTCCCAGATCGTTAAACTTGTCGAGGATGCGCAAACTTCTAAGGTAAACCAATTCATATGTTGAGGTGCGAGGCGCTTAATATCTGAAACCATTTCTGACTATTTGTAATTATTAGATTAATATACTTTTATTTGCTCCTCAATAAGAAAAGTAGTCATATTTGGTCGCATAATCTTGTGAAGGGCTGCTAGTTTAATTTTCTCACATCGACCTGGGTAAGCCTCACAAAGTCATTGAAATTCACTTAAACTTTCCTCTTAGTCCTTATTATCTAGGCTGGAGTGGAGTGGCTACTGATGAGGGTGGGTCACAGGGTAAACGTGACTTTCTATTGTGAATCAGACCTATCCTATATTACATTTATTTATGGGATTGCCTTATAAACATACTTGTATTTGCCATTAAAATCGGGTACTTTACTTTTTCTCAGAATTAATATATTTTAAAAAGCTAATTAAATCCTGTATTTAAACTGCAGTGACCCTAAATCACATAAAGTTATGAAGAGCCAATAGTCTTTCATCACCTGTGACCTAGGGTGATTAAACTTCTTAGTTTATGCTAGTTGGTTCGCTAGATAATCCCATATTTTGTCCTGCATAAGCGGAATCTTGCGTTATTTACAAATAATCTTTATCTGAAACTCAATCAAGTCTGAATCATACATTTTCGCACTAGTGCAATTGATTTTAGGATTGATAGACTGCAAGTCTTCATTATGAACTCGATATAATGCTCGGACTTTACAAATGGAAGTTGTATGACCTTGTTTTCTCAACTTAGTCATATTGGTAGGAAGGCTTAAAGGAACCCATCTAGTCCAGATTCCATTATATGCATGATAATTTCCCAAGTCTGATCGTCGATGTGGCACATTTCAAGACGTTCCGCCGACATCGTAGTCTGCATCGTCAGTAATTCTTGCCATTCTTAGCATCATAGTACAACACGTCAAAGTGACAGGTTAAACCATCCCCTGACCAAATGTGTGCTAAATAGTTGTGCTATCTCTCCCGTCCTGGGCTATTTACCTATCCTATATCCTCGTATCACGCCTTCACTATCACTTTTTTTTCTTGTCTATTTAAAAGTAGTGGGGTGTACCCTTTTTGAACCGCTTTTGATGAAAGCCCTCCACACTCCACGCTGGCGTTCTCATCCGCCTTCATCCTTGTGTTAGAAATGTTGAACAGACTGCCAAATTGTTACGCAGTCCTCTTTCCCTAGGTCTTGTCAGAGTCTCCCTCTTGCCCGTAAGATCCGTCTGCTATCTCCCTGGTTTAAGTATTTCACTTGACCCCTGCCAGCCTATCTGTGCTACTCGAGGCGTTATTACTCATCCTCTGCGTCTGGTTGACGAATTCGAGACTAAAGCCTCTGAGTAAGTCTCATGGTCATGCCTTTGCTACATGGACCACGTCTATGGTAAACAGGCATACTTTTAGCCAACTATCTCCAGTCTCCGTCGCGTCTACCCTGTTTCTATCTCTAATATAAAATTAAGGTCGAGTGAAATATTTAAACCAGGGAGGATGCAGATGGATCCTACGGGGTAAGAGGAAGACTCTGACAAGACCTAGGGATGGAGGACTGCATAACAATTTGGTAGATTCAGATCCACATTTCCAGTACATGGTGGAAGGGGGTTGAGAAATCCAGCATGTAGTGTGCAGGTTTCTTATGAAATTCGCTCAAAAGGGCACACGACATGACATTTGAACAAGCGAGGAAAAATTGTGATAGTGAAAGGAGACTGCGACCATACAAAATGCCACATCATCTTCGTCTTCATACCTTCATTTAAAATAGTGCCTGTTTTTTTTATTTCTCATGTCAAAGCGATTAAATCACAGTAACCACCGAAAGATACTTTATGTGCAGCCAATAATCAAACGTGATATAACCATATTCACTAATGGATCGAATTGGCTGATTTATGCATAATTATCTTGCGAATACATTAATCCTATTACGCATTTATCTTCTGTCGATGGTAGATCTAGGCTTATATCTTCAGCTAATTCTTAGCTAACTGCTCTCAGCATTAACTCCCTCTTTAGAGACAAGAGAAAAATACAGCTCATCTGTCAGTTACTTGCACCTGCTCATAAACCCACCTGTTATTTAGATATTACCATTATTTTTTACACTTATGACACTAGTTGCTAGGACTTATGAGTGCCAAATTATACTGGCATACCTTTATTTTCGTTTGAGAAGATGGGTGAAAGGGATATGTAAATTAGCCGCATCGGATACTGAAGAAGGATTGCTTTTGACTTTTGAATTGTGCGAAGAATACCTCGGTTCATTGTCCTGCGACCCTGAAGACTTCGTGCTTAGCTTTTGTCAGTTCTTTGACGGACGTAGTTGAAGTCAGAAACCATTATTCACAAAATCATTACTTTACATCAAGACCAAGAAGCTAATGTCCAGGCAAGTTAATCACATTAGATTTTTAAAATTATGTTCCTCGCGTAGTATTATTCCTAAGTTTTGTTTTCTTGATAGACCTAATCTGCTTATTAACACCAATAGTGATGTTATAAAATATCTCATGATTTGTTTAAAGAAACACTTATTTAAAACATTTCAAAATTACATAATTTGATCAGAACAAAAAGACTTGGACAAACTTTATCCAATACTCCTAATTCAGTAATTTTCTGGAGCTACAATCAATTGGGGAAACATTATATGATGTAGTGTTTCGTCAGGTTGTTAAGGTTCACGATAATAAACCTAAGAATTTGGGAATTAGCATCAAAGAATTAAAGAAACGGCAGAAATTATCTACAGAATAAAACATTATGGTAGGTCGGGAAGTGGTCAATCTGTCCAAAATACCATTGAACAATACTCTCGAGTAAGTTCTATATAGAGGTTTTAATTATGCTTTGTCAAATACTAAGAGTTTTACTCAAAAGATTTGGGCGGAATTTAATTACTTTAAGAGACACTACCATTCAGACAGGGTTAATGAGATTCTTCACGAGGCCTCTTTTCGGAAGTTAAACGATATCAATGATATGGAGAGGAATAAGCTATTTAAATTTTACCTAAAATACTCCTGAGTACTTTTAAGGCCATGTTATGATTGGTTCAACAGAGAGGCCAAATGCAGTAACTAGGTTCGCTTAGTCCACTCGGGACAGTGCCGGTGAGTCCTG